ACTATGATCCTCTTGGTCTTAGCCTCCCAAATTGCTAGGATTACAGATGTGAGCCTGACTTTTACATCCTTTTTTGAACACCTTACTTTCTAGCATAAGAAGATGCTACAGGCTTATATTTTCCTACCCCATCCCTGGAATCAACCACTTCTGCAAGGGTCATGCCAAGATTCTTTTGGAAATGCTACACATAAGATAGACCACTTTATTGAATGCTATATGATTTTGTTGCTTTCTGTTACATTATACCTGAGATAATCAATTTTATTAAAAAAAAGTTTATGTTGGCTCATAGTTTTGGAAGTTTCAGCCCATGACCAGTTAACCTCTCTGCTTTTGGATCTGTGGCAAGGAACATCAAGGTAGGGAACCTGTGGCAGAGTACTGTCTATTCATCTCATTATAGGTAAGTGAATGAGTTAAGGAAGAAAAGTAGAGTACCATAGTCCCCTTTAAGGACATGCCCCCAAATGACCTAAAACCACCCCCCCCCACTAGGCCCTACCTTTTAAGGTTTCTACCACGTCCCAGTAGCAGCAGTCTGCAGACTGAGCCTTTAACATATGAGCCTTTGAGAGCTAGTTAAGATCTAAACTAAAGCAATGACTTTAAACTTTAAAATATAGCCTCTTTGTGCTAATTGTAGGGTAATGTAACATGAATTGGGCTAATGATTTCTATGATTGCATTTTTTAATAATGGAGATTCTAGTTGTTTCTTTTTAAAATTGGCCTCTTCTTTTCCATTAGATCTTACTCTTTTATTGGAAATTAAATGGCTTATCTTATATATCTTTTGTATTTCTTTTAATTCATTTTACTGTCTGGAGGTCTTAGACTCTATAATCTGTTGCTTATTGTTTTTTGCTGATTCTTACTCATGTTAGACTGTATGACTATGTATTTTGATTTTTTTTAAATCATGAACTCTTTAGATGGGCTTATTTTTATGTGTGAATTATTTGGAATATGTGTTATCAGAGTGTGCTTCCAGAATAGTGTAGGTGCATCCAACTCACCTCCATGTTTTATGCTAATTTCTCAACTTGGTGGTTTCTAATTCAACTATTACAGTAAAGAGTCAGCCTTTCCAGGGTGCTAGTTTTTACATGGGGGGGGGGTTCTGTACTCCCTGTTTTCCATAGGCTAAAGGCCAGGTCTCCTATTTTTGTGCAGACATTTAAATAGAAGCTTTTAGGTGAAAGAAACTGATACATTTCTTTACAATGCCTGGAGCTACAATGCAAGTATTTCCCTATTTGTTTCTGGTGCTCAGCAGTAGCCCTTTTTCCCCTTTTCTTTTCAGCTCCACTGTATATAGGAGAATTTTCTATCCTTTTCAATCACTTTGAAAAGGTATATCACATTGCTGGAGCAACAGTCTTGAAAACAGACTAGTCATTAGGTAATGAGCAGCAGACAGAATAAACTAGGAAAATCAGACTCATCTGATATAGTTTGACAGATTATGCAGGCCAAAAGGATCAGATCTATAAGGTTCAATAGGGACTCACATGGCAGAATGGTAATGGGTAGAATCAAAGGAGCCTTAGGGCTAGATATCTAAGATGTAGATAAGAATAGCCCAGGGTTGGAGAAGTCAGAGAAAGCAGTTTCTTTGGTTTTCCTGCCCCTGTTTATGTGTGAGCAAGCTTGGTGTTTCAAATATTCACTGCAGGTGTACCTGGCTTACATTTAAGGCCATACTTCATGACTGGGATACTGGAATATTTTCTCACTGTTTACAGAGAGAGTACTATTTTAGACATTAGTTTTCAAACTTTCCAGGAAGAAGACTAAAAAAATAATTCTAAACCTTTAAACATACTTTTCAGGTGTTTCCTCATGCAGGAAAGGACCAGGCTCCCTTTGTACTTCTGTAATTGGTGGCCAGAAGTCTTGTTTTGTTGACCCACAAAGTACATTGAAATTTTTGTGGCAGTGTGAGGTAGTGCGAGGACATCTCCTCAATATCTTTACACATAGAAATTTTCAAATGACAGATCTGTTGTTGACCAACCCCATGTCTGAGCTGTAGTTTTCTCTCTTGGAGGTCTTCCAATTAATCTCAATTAATCACATTTCACAATATCTCAAACTGAGTTTGTCTACTGTATCTCCCATCTCCTACAAATGTACTTCTTCTTCCAGTTTCTTTCTGTTGTGTTTTTTTTTTTAATGTTGCTACTATTTGCCCAGATCTCTAGGCCCCACATACCTCACTTTCCAACTCAAGTTCTTCTAATTCTTTTATTCTCTACTTGATATTTCTTCCCATCTCTCAGTATTTTAGTGCCTTCAGTACTGATCATCTCTTACTTATTACTGTGCTAGGAGAGTGGGGAATAAGAATCATGAGATGTGGTCATTGCCTTCTAAGAGCTTAATATCTAGTTGAAGAGAATTTCGATTCATGACAACATTGAACAATACTTGACAGTATATAATTAAATGCTAAATTAGGTGGTACAGAGTTTTCAGTGTTAGAAATTGGAGGAAAGAAAGGAATTAAATGAATATTTAAATTTTAAGAGAAAACTTAATTGAGGAAGTGGGATTTAAACTGGGTCTGGAAACAACATAGGTTGGAATTAAAGAGGCATTTAAAGTGAGGAGTAAGAAGGAATAGTTAGTGAGTTTACTGAGTGTAACATTTTGGGAAAACTGAAGCCTGTTTATATGTTAGGGACAAGTGAAAAATGGAAATGAGAGCAAGAAGCAGGAGGGAGGGAAGGGATGACAATTGCTTTGACTTTGGCTGTAAGATTACTTCATCAATCTTTCAAGGGTAGCCTTTCATTTTGTATGTTCCTCAGCTTATTTCTAGAGGTGGCATTTTCTTTTTAATTCTAGTTCAAATTACCTTGGTATTCTAGATACTCTGATCCACCAGCCTTCCCCCAATAGCATGCATTGTTTTTTGGGCCTACAGCATACTTTTCTGTGGTTGATTTATGAGTTCTCTATCCTTGAGTGTCTGTGTGATTTCTGTCCATACCTTCTTCAAGTCTTCTCAAGACTTACTATCTCTTGTTACCCACCCTGATGATTCCAGCCCATTGATATTTCTTTCCTCCTTAACTTCCTTTTGAAGCTATTTTGTGTTGGAAATAGTTCAAATCATGTACCCTTTTATTGTCTAATAATTTAGATAAATTTTTTGAGTGGTTAGATTGTGTTTTATATTTTGCTGTAGAAACCTGAGTATACTTGGTACTGAATTTGTAGCTTTTAAGGAACTCTTTTCTTTGAAACCCTGATTATTTGTCATCTCAGAGTTACTTCCTTGTGTAGATGTGCCTGCTGTCATGCCTGACCTATAGTACTTCTTTAGTAAATGCTAGTTGAATTCAAATCATGTAGTGAATTTCAAGTCAAAGATCATCTGTTTCATGGAAAGTAGGAAATAAGAGCAAAACCCCTAAAGGTAACATTTCTGGAAGACGTCCTTTCTCTTTCTATTCCTTTGGGCCTCTCCTTAATTGGTATCCTTTAAGTATATATTATTCATTTATCTTTGTCATGTCTTTACTTACTACTTCATGTAGTTTTTCTAAATAATTTATATTTGTAGGTAGAGATAAATTGTATATATTAATTGCAGCTTAAGAGAAGAGATTGGAGTGTTTTAGAAAGATTAATCCTGGTTAAACTCTATTTCATTGATCCATGTTAGCACTCTGTCCTGCCTGAATTTTAATATTTTAATGAAATATACATCAGTAAAAAAAATCATCTGTTGTTACTGGAATTGAACTTAAGAAGAACATTTGAGTATCTATAAAACAGATTTGAAATGACTAGGAACACAGTTTTAAGGAAATTGGGTCATGTTAAAATTGCTATAGCAGTTTTGTTGGGCTTTAGGTTTATTATATCATTTAACAACCTCTTAAAAATCTGAAGTAACTTTTAAAAGTCTTAAATTATTATTTTAAATAATACAATTATTCTCTCACCTCCTTTAAAAGCTTATAAGGTGATTTGAATTGAGAATTGGTTGATTTATATATATTAAAATCAACCAATTTTCTGGGTTCTAATGTAGTTTCAGCAGAGGTAAAAAATAACTCAAAAAACTATAAGAGCTATGTATGCCTGGATTTAGAAATGTGCTGACATTATCTTACCTTTTTTATTTTAAGGAATATATATTCCAGTGTCAATTTTGTATGTAACACAAAGTTGTGTATGAAGAAGAAAGGAAGAGAGGGAGGAGTGAAAGAGAGAAGGAAAGAAAGTGAAAAGGAGTATGCTAGTCAGATTTCTGTAACTGTAACAAAATATCTGAAAAAACAACTTAATGAAGGAAAGTTTTATTTTAGCTCCTGATTTCAGAGTTTTCAGTCCATGGTTGACTGGCTCAGTTGTAGAACACCATGGCAGAGAAATAAGGCTCGATGGAGTGGAGCTGTTCTTCTCATGGCAGCCAGGGAGGGAAGGGAGGGGAAGTAAGGGAGGAACAGAAAGTGAGAGAGAGAGAGAGAGAGAGAGAGAGAGAGAGAGAGAGAGAGAGAGAGAGAGAGATTGATTTGGGATAGGATATATCCTTCAAAGTCTCCCTCCAGTGACCCATCTCTTCCAACTAACCCTACTTCCTAATAGCCCATTTAGCTATGAACTCATCAGTGGACTAATCCATTGATAAGGCTAGTGCCCTCATGATCCAATTATTTCTCACTGGATCCTTGAGCTGGGACCAAGTCTTCAACACATGAGTCTTTTCAGGGAAAATTTCATATCTGAACCATAACAGATGGATAGTTATTTGCTTGAGTAACTGAAACAAGTAATAGAAAACAATTGTGTGGGGTAGGCTGGTTCTTCAACAGTTTATAATGGTTTAAAGTTTTCTTTTGAGGAAGTAGTACCTTATGAAATCTTCTAGGAATATTGTGGTTCTTTTCTTGATTCCTTATGATAACATATACCACAATTAAGTTATAACTTCATATGAGTTGGAGTTTTATTACATACTGACTTTTAAAATTTGTTTCACAGGTTGTTTGTATTCGCTCCACTTGGAATGCTCTCTCTCCAAAGTTGAGTTGTGACACAAGACCTCTCATTTTGAAGACGCTGAGTGAACTGTTTTCTCTAGTTCCTTCCTTAACAGTCAATACAGCTGAATATGAGGTATGCATATGGAGTTCAATAAGTTGTCTGTTGTGTATTGCAAAATCGTGAATAAAATAACTACTTTTGGAATAAATATTCATAATCTCCCCCTCTTTTTTGAGGTGGGGTCTTGTTCAGGTTGGTCTTGAACTTGTTCTATAGCTGAGGCTGGCCTCAAACTCATGATCCTCCCAGGTTAGTCTCCTGAATGTTGGGATTACAGACAGGCATGTACCACCATGCATAATGTTTTTGTTTTTGTGAGCCAGAGTCTTGCTATGTGCCCAGACCTGCCCTTATTAATTCTAGTCTCTATGAGTGGTTACATAAAGGACGCCAAGTTTTTATTATGAGAGTATCATCAGGAATTTAAAAAGACAGTTTGTTAAAAATAAGAGTTCCTAAAATAATACTGTTAATAATATTCACAACTTAAAATCTTTTTTTTTATTTCTTTATTATAGACAGAGTAGTCCAGGCTGGCCTAGAACTCACTATGTAGGTCAGGCTGGCCTCAAACTCAAGATCCTCATTCTTCTCCCTCCAAATTTCTGTTTTACAAGTATGCCCCCCTATGGCCAGCAAGACTGATATATTACTGCTTAACATTGTTTTCCATGCTTTCTTCTTTGAGTGTAATAATCAGAGGTTGGAGAATTACATGTATGTCTCCATTTTCTCTTTCATGCTCACCTTTACTCCTTTTCCTTCAAAGAGCAGCAACTGATTTTCATTTGAAGTCTTGATGACAACATACCATTTGATTTAGAGAGACTTTATAAACTACCTCATCATAAATTTCCTTTAAATGTGATTAAACTCTAATCATTCTAAATGTCACATAATGAATAAAATCGAATTTGTCCTTTCTGGGGTTAAATATATAGCATAGTGTCTGGCACATATTCTGTAAGTAGTTGTTGAATGAATCAGTGAACCAATACAGAGGATTATGAGTTTATTCTTACATGTGGGCTTTTGTTTTAAGGTATTAAAAAAAAAGAATCAATTTGAGACTCCTAGAGTATTTAGTTCACCAACAGTCTCTTTTATGGCTATAATTCATAGCTATTTGCTCTTATACTGTCAGGGAGCCTATATGGCTAATAATAAGGAACTAAGACTAAAATCCGAGGCAAAGGCATGTTGTGTGTACTTACATTCTGTCTTCATGGACTGAAATCGGATGCCTTTGTATTGCTTATACTTTACATTATTCTAATTGTATTGCAGGCTAATTTATGAAGTGGTTTGTGTGTTGGTTTCTTAGATTTGCTTACTGATAGCTGTGAGTTGTCTTTTGGACTTGATTATTTTTTCTTTCAGATTTTACATTCTTTTGATTTATCTTCATGTTTATATTATATTAAGGTTTTTCTGTTGTTCAAGCAGACTGCTTTGGGACTGTTTTATATACCTCTTTCCTCACAGTCAAGGAGGTCCTCCCTTCAGTGACAATGGTACCCTTGGAAGCAAAAGTGAAGAACTGATGAAGGAGAGACTCTCCTTCTCTCTTTCCCTTCTTACTTTCTTCTCTCCCCTCCCTGCATCCTTTTCTCCCTTTCTCCCTCCTTTGTTTCTTCCTTCCTCTCTCCCTCATTTCCTCCCTCCCTCCTTCTCTTCTTCCCTCCCTTATTCTTTTCCTTCCACCCTTCCCTCTCTCTGTCCTCATCTGTCTTTCTATCTTTCCCTCTCTTCCTATACATATTTAGACAATTTCTTTTCTTTTAACTGCTTAGAATTTGTTAGGTCATAAGCCAGAGTTCAATTTAGTTTTCCCAAAGCATTTATTAGGTCACTTTATTCCTGTTCATTTCAATATTTTATGTAAGGCTAAAATGAAGTCCATTTTCTTTATAACAAATCAATAAGTCCTTCTACAACATATCCTGTCTCTATTGTCCTGCACTTAGGACTCCAAATAAACAAAGCCATTTGTCATTTCCCTGTGTGCCTCCAAACTGTTCTAGTTCTTTTCTTTTATTCATTTTGTTCTCTCTGTCTAGATTTCCTTTCTTTTTCATCTCTATTTAATGGATCATTGTGTGTACACACAGGATTTTCCAACTGTACTGCTTGTGGCTATGTTCTTTACTTTGTGTGTTTGTTTCCTGTAATGCACATATTAACTTAAAAAAACAAAGGTTATTTAAAAACCTGACAAAAATAAAATTCTGTTCTATTGGAAAACATTTCTGTAAGCAGAAGTCTTATTGCTCCCTAATTACTTTATACTGTCCTAAGAACTTCATTTTGTACTACAAGGATATCTATCTATCTATCTATCTATCTATCTATCTATCCATCCATCCATCCATCCATCTATCTATCTATCTATCTATCTATCTATCTATCTATCTATCTATCTTGAACTCCTACTAATTTCCCAGTGCTCTTCTTGGTATTTTACATCAATTAGTTCTAAAACCTGATAAGAAGGTATTATTTTTTATTTTATAGCTAAAGATGCTACTGAGGTTTTGAGAGGTCCATCTATTTATTAAATCAATATTTATTGAGTATCTGCCATGTGCCTTGTAGTTGCTAAGTGGAAGCTGATAGCTAAACTCAGGATTTTCTACCTACCTAGCCTATATTTTCCCATTTTATGATATGGTCATTCCCTGTATTCTAGAAAGCTCAAAGGTTGGTAGACAAAATTGACACAAGCAGTGATAGTTATAGTAACATTAAATATTTGACACTTTTAAAAATTTTTTAAAACTCAGGATATATAACTTGTACAAAGGTATTTCTTAGTGATGTTTCTATAAGTGTATATAATATACCCCAAATAAATATTTGTTACTTCTAATGATATGTTCTGGACTCTGTGGTCAAAATATTTAAAATAAAAAAGAAACAATAACTACCCTGATTATTGTGTGACACAGAGGGCCTTAATCATTCCAGATGCTAAAGTATGTCATGTGTGGTATGGCCACTTGGAGAAAGATAGTCTCTGTTCAAAGAGTGACATTTTCATTAGGAATTGAGAGTAAAAATGCTTAGGTTTTTAGATTCAATTATCTTAGAAATCTCAGTATGTTTGAGTTATCCATGTTTAAATGGTGGATCTTTTTCCAATATTGTTATCTTATGAATGATAGGTAAATATAGGTTGAATCAATGATGTAATTTAAAAAATAGTTTAATTTTTATTATTCTCAGTTTTGCTGTTGTCTTAAAATTTTTTCTTGTTTCCTAATTTTTCAGAATTTTAAAGTTCAAGTCCTCAGTTTCCTCTGGACTCATACTCAAAACAAGGTATTATGACAGGGTGTAAGTGAGTCTGAACAAATTGGGGAAGTAAGACTGTTAGAGTAAAAAAAATGCAACTCTTAAAATGCAGCTTCTTTTTTAAAAATAGTTTTACTCACATTTTTTCATTAGTATACATGAAAGTTATGAGGGGGTTTCATTATGGTAATTCTATACTTATGTACCATGTATTTTGAATAAGCTCACTCCCTCCATTTTAGTCCTATTCTCTCCTTGCCTCCTCCTCCCCTTTTTCAAACAGTGTTTGGTGGGTTTCATTAAGTTGTCTTCACATATGTGCGTGTACGTGTGTATGTGTGTGTGCTTGTGTGTTTGTGTAGCATACTTTGATCTTCTTTACTTCTCAGAATCCTTTCCTTTCCTTGTTTCCCTCCCCCTTCTCACTGATTCCTGTCTAGGCCCTGTTGTTCATATTCATGTCTTCTTCTTCTTATTATTATTAATATTATTATTTTTACCATCATTTTAGGTCTAGGTTCTATAAATGAGCAAGAACACGCAATATGATGGCTTCTTGATTCAAAAAGTTTGACTGTTAATAAGTTTAGATTAAAAAAATTATTTTCAATTTATATCCATTAATATATTTTCTTCAAAAAGTGTACTTAATATTTTTTCAATCTGACAGACATGAAGAGGGATTGATGACTTTATCTCATATTTTTATATGGTCCTTCCCCTTTGCCACTTTGCTCTTCCACCACCAACTAGCATAACAAATGAACAAACAATCCTGTTATTCAAGAAGTTTTTTGTGATGTTGTACCTCAGCCATGGGTAAATGAGGTTAGGTTCCAAAAGGCTGTTCACAGATGGAAAACCAGAATCTAAACCCAGGCTTGTCAGACTCTAAACCATACCACTTCATGGGACCTGAGCAATTATGAGTCACTTTATGTTTACTGTCCAAATTAGGATAAAAATTTGGTGTTTCTGACACTTTTTACCCAATGCTGTTTTCTCTTTATTTTTATTTGGGACACATTCTCCAGAAACATATTTGATGTTAATAATTTTTTCCAGCTGTTTTAACTTCTGTCTTCAGGCTTTTAAAAATCTTCCTTTCACAGTATTATTTTGGAAATGATAAATTTGATTTCTTTTTTGAAATTGCTAGTAAATGTCCTTTTGGCCTGAGCAAGACTTATACACCTTGTCCAAAGCACTAACTATAGAACCTTGGAGTTAACAAGCGAAGATTCTTCCTCCAGATCTGATTTCTAAATAACATGTTATTTTTTTGTGTTTGCTTTTCTTTTACCCTATATAGGACCCAGTTGTAGCAAATGCAGCATATAAATCTCTGTCCCACTTTAGTGCAGGAGAACACACCATTCTTCACCTTCCTGAAAAGGTAGGCATTTCTCACTGGTATTGCTTCACTTTTCTGGGTTTTATGATTTTTCTCCCTCTCTTAGAACATCTGTCCAAATAACATAAGAACTCATATTTATTATTTGTTTTATCTGTAAAAACTGTATATCTTATGTTTCACAGGTAATGAGTTTAGAACTCTTTGAAGCAGATGGAAGATAGCTGTGGTACAAATGAAGTCATCTAAAGGTGACTGTATTTATGGTTTGGTCTGGAAGACATTTGCCACTGAGGACCTACTTTGCTGCCAAGTCAGCACAGCATCTTGGACTTCAGTTCCAAGCATGGCCTGTATCAATCAACTACAATTTTCTTTTTTTTTTTTTTATTAAAGAACAATAATATTTTATCAACATAAAGCATAAATGTCTACTACAATTTTCTACCACCTGTGAAGCCACAGATCTTTATTTGGAATGAAAAAATGAATGGCATATGAAAAAACCTGCTATTTTTTAGTATAGTGTAAAATGATATATAGGTTAGCCACAGAGACCTGACTGAAGAAAGTATGATTACTTTTTATGAGTTAGTACACAGTATGGCATTGTCTTAGTTTTTAAAATAAAATTATTTTAGTTTTAAACTAGAAAACATATAGCCTTTTTTAGTATCTACCTATTATAGCCAGTTTTAAACTATAAGATCAGTTTAAGGAGTTCAGTATCTGATTTCACATTTAGAGCAGCTATTAGTTCAAATATGTATACAGGTGTTTATTGAATGCCTTTAGAATATAAGGCAGACATTGTATTGCATAATATTACCCAGAAACTATTCTGGAGATTAAATGGCAAGAAAGTTTGGTGTGAATTTCTTGGTATCCTCAGCCATTGAGATGGGTTTCACTTTTTCTTCTAGATTAAGTTTCTACAGAGATTAGAAGCCAGTAGGAATCTAGCAAACTTTTATGAAATTGAATTGGAGCTACCATATAATGGATACTGAAAACGGGTTATGAAAAACCAAATCTTAAGTAAAGCAGGATTTCCTATACTATTGAAGACTCATAAAGACAGACTGGCCAGCTTGTCATGCAGTGATTTACAAATGTGAGGGTTGAAGTAAAAGTGTTTCATAACACATATAATTAAATAAATGGACTTCAAGCCATATTATAGAGACTACCAATACCCACAGCTGTTTAAAAAAGAAAAAGGAGAAAAAGCAATGTGGATTTGGTTAGCAGTAGCATCTGGAGAGAGATTCTTTTATTATTTTTAATAAGCTATTGCTCATTTCAATTGCAGCATAAAATTGCCTCTTATTTTTAGCAGTTATTCCTAGAATATTCCAACTTGAACAATATCTTTTATTAAATAACTCCTCTGTACTCTCCACTGTTTATTATCTGCCTCTTTAGGTATTGACATATGTGTCTTATTCATGACTGTAGGGTTAGATTCAGTTTTAATTGTGTCTGTTAGAGTTCATATTCAATTAAGTGTTGTACTAAGTCAACTGTTAGCTACTTCCTTAATCTTACTCTTCTGAACCCTCTGATCTCTGAATAGTCATAAATAGTTTTTTATACCTTCCAATATAAATAGTAGTGATCATTCAGACTTAGGTTTTCTATATATTTTTGAACTTTTGCCATCAGAGTACAAAGAATTGCAGAAGAAAGTCATATAGCTTCTCCTTTTGCAGCCATGTTTTTCAACTTTCTTTCTGTCCTAATCCCATTCTGGGATATGTCCTGCCACCCCAAGAAGCAATAGTTCACTGTATGGTGGGTTTTTCCAAATGAGGTTGTGATGAGGGAGTTGAAGAGTGTGGAAAGAGTTTTTCCCACTCTGCCCCCATCTTGTGATTGCAAAGACCTACCTCCTCATGGAGAACCACTGTTTTCAAGACTGTACCCTTCATTCTTCTTTTTATTACTATTTTTAGTTTGGCTGTTAGGATGACTAAAAACTAAAATTCTAGAAAGTGGCCACTGTGTTCATATCCCAACAAGTCCAGGAAGGCTAAGGATACAGCCCAGTAGGTCAGTGCTGCTGCTTTGTAGGTGTTGGCAGTGGTATGAAACTTAAGCTCACCTTCAAGTGTTTCCAAAGTCCCTGCCAAGTAGGAACTTCTATAATGTACAAACCAAGTTTCTTCTTTGTTGTCACAGATCACTTATCCTGTACTAAAGGTAATAGCTTACTTACAAGTTTTAAGATTCCTATACACTTTTCCAGTGAAATTACATCCACTTTCTCTCTTTCCACTTTTGGCAATATGTAATATAAACCATTGAACCCACTGTGAACTTCAAGTGGAATTTAAAAATAAGAAAAGATAGAATGTAACCTTACAAACATTCGACTTTTCTGAATTATAACTCAGCAGCTTTTGTAAGTACTACTTTTCTTCAAGTTTAATTAAGAAATATTTCTTGTTGATTGAAGAACATCAGTGTAGTTTGTGTAACTTGTTGAGAGTGAACAGACAGGACAAAAGGAGTAAGAGGAGTGGTAGATATCAGAAGATGAGGGCTGAAGGAAATAGTACAGACAGAAAACATCAGTGAATAGGTAGCTGAATGGGGCACCACCTGAGGAAGGGATTTGAATACCAAGTTCATTACCTCATCTTTCTTGTCACTGGCTTGTGATTGGGAAGTTCTGTGGGACTAGAAGTGATGGAAACTTAATACTTGCATCAGTTTAATAATTATTTATGGATATACACTGTTAGACCCTGCCTTATGAACTGGGGATGTTGAATGAACGCATGCATCTTTTTTGTTGGTTTGTATCAGTATTGCTATTAATCTCTTAAAATGCAAATGTAAATTTGTTGAAAAATAGACAAGAATGAGTTTTCCCTTTTAGTTCATATTTATTCTATTGTTTTCAGCTATTACCATTGTCCTCAGCCTTCTTTAGCACTCCTATCTCCCCCCATCCAAAAAAAAAAAGAAAAAAGAAAAAAGACCTATATAGAATACAGAATTGTTTTTCTGGTGAAAGAATCAGTAATGGACAAACTTCTACGTAAAAGACATTGATTCTCCTCTCTGACATAGATTCATTAAAAAATATTCAGCTATTTAAAAACTAAACTTTTTATTATAGGGGTCTTAAGATAGATTGTTTTGTCGATTTTAGAAGTAATATAAAAGAACTCATTATGCGTTCAGGGTTGGTATAAATATGGTATAACCCGTTTGGCTTTGATTTAAGTGAATGTCACTGCATTCATCAGAAGCTGTTTCTCTTTTTAACTGAACTTATGTAGATACTTGACATGCTCCAAATTAAAATCCTCTGTTTATGTACAGATTCTCGGACTTTCATAGGTTATATACACAGAAAGGTGGTTGAAAGGTTATCTGGCTCAGAACCCACAGTGAGGCATTTTGAAGGTTAAATTTTCCAGGATTCAATTTGAAGCAGATTTTAGAAGTAATTTGTCATTTTTATTTGGCTTCCCATTTAAGGGTTTTCAACAAAGCTTAGCTATAATAGGAAGGTCTTTGTTATTGTGTGTGTATTTTAGCAGCTAATGGAATATAATTGCCAAAATCCTATAACTTCAGCAGCTGTTCTTCCTTGTGACTTATCTTGATCCTTCCTATTTGTACTCATATTGAGCTTTTCTGTTGTTACACATAAACCGAGGGAAAAATCTGGCATTAGCATAGGGAATCTAGAACAAATAATTCTTTAAGGGGTGAGCAGATGAGGAAGGGAATGTAATATAATCAAGTTATAAGTGTGAATTTGTCCAGGAGAGTCAGCTACCTTTGAGGAAAAAAGCTGAAGGAGCAATCATACCATTATAACTATGTAGCATTTATCATCTATACGTAAATGACATATGTAATTCTGTGTTAAAGTTTATGAATATGTGAGATGTAGACACATGCTCTTCAATGCATAGCAGGTAAATTAATATATCCAGTTATGTGAATGTGAAATTAGACAATTTATCTCCATTAATGGGTAGATAAATTTTCTTTATCCCCAACCTGGTAACTATATAAATATCATTTTAAATTCACATATATTAATTGTACAATGGGGTTTCATTGTGATATTTCCATATGTGCATATATTATGCATTTTGATCAAATTTACCCCCTTTATTACTCTTTCTTACCCTCCCTACATCACCCTTCTAAACAATTTTAATGGGTTTTATTATTCTGTTTTCATATATGTGTATAAAATACTTAGATCATATTCACCCCTCCTTCAACTTCTTTCTGCTTTTCTGTCTCTGCTAGTTCCCACCCTCAAACATTCCCTATATTATACTTATGTGATTTATTTTTTATTGCACAAGTGAGGGAGAATTGTGATAATTGTCTTTCTCAGTCTGCCTTATTTTGCTTCACATAATCTGCAGTTCCATCCATTTTCCTGCAAATGACATAATTTCATTCTTCTTCATGATAAAATAATATTCCATTTGTCTAAATGCCATATTTTCTTTATCCCTTCATCACTTGATGGGCATCTAGACTGATTCCATGGTTTGGCTATTGTGAGCAGTACCGCTGTAAATATGAATGTGTCTTATTACATGTTCACTTAATTTTTCTTCAGATACACATATGGGGTGGTATACAGGGTTTTATGGTAGTTCTCTTTTAAGCTTTTTGAGATACCTCCATACTAATTTCTATAGTGGTCACACCTGTTTATATTTCCACCAACAATATATTATGGGTTCTTGTTCCCCACATCCTTACCAGCATTTGTTGTTTGTTTTCTTGATAATAGCCATTTTGACTGGGGTGAGATGGAATGTCATTTTAATTTGCATTTTCTTTATGGCTAAGGAAGTTGAACATTTCTTCATGAATTCATTGACCAATTATATTACTCTTCAGAACTATTTAATTCATTATATACAGTCATTAATATTGGGGTATAATTTTTGGAGCTCTTTATATATTCTAGACATTAATCCTTTATTCAATGAATAGCTGCCAAATATTTTCTCCCATTCCATAGGTTGTCTCTTGATTCTCGTAATTGATTCCTTTGTTGTGTAGAAGCTTTTTAATTTGATGCAACCCCATTTATCAATTCTTCTACATGTGGGTATTTAGTTTTCTTAACATAATTTGTTGAAGAGACTATCTTTTTCCACATACTTTTTTGGCATCTTTATTGAAAATCAGATGGCTGTAGCTGTGTGGGTTTATTTCTGGGTCTTCTAGTCCATTGGTCAACATGTTTGTTTTTGTGCCAATACCATGCTGTCTTTGTTGCTATGACTGTGTAGTATAATTTGGAGTCAGGTATTGTGATCCCTCCTGCATTGCTCTTTTTACTCAGAATTGCTTTGGCAATATGGGATCTTTTTTGCATCCATATGAATTTTAGAATTGGTTTTTCTATTTCTATGGAGACTGATATTAGACCTTTTATGGGGATGGCATTGAATCTTTAGATTGCTTTTGGTTTGTGGCTATTTTCACAATATTAATTCTGTGATCCACGATCATGGGAGGGCTTTCTATTTCCTAGGGTGACCTTCAACTTCTTTCTTTGGTGTTTTACGGTTTTCATTATAGAGGTCTTTTGCCTCCTTTGTTAAGCTTATTCCTAGGTATTTTACTTTGTTGTGGGTATTGTAAGTGACATTGAGAGTTTTATTACTGCTTCAGTCTCATTATTTGTTATAGATCCGTGTAGGTGGTTTTTATACTCTTAGTTCAAATTGGTATGTCAGATACATGTAGAAATTCATCCATTTCTTCTAGATTTTTGAATTTATTAGAATATAAGTTTTTAAATATTCCCTAATGAGCCTGTGGATTTCAGTGGTATTTGTTATGATATCAATTTTTTGCCTCTAGTTTTACTAAGTTGTCTTTTGTCTCTGTCTTGATTAGTTTGGCAAAGAGTTTGTCATCCTTATCTTTTCAATGAAATGATTCTTAGTTTCATTGATCTTTGCATTTTTCTTTTAGTTGCCATTTCATTAATGTCAGTTCTGATGTTTCATTCTTTATGTCCTTCTGATTTATACTTTATTCCTTTTGATGGCTGAATTATATTCCATGGCAGTAATATGCTACATTTTGTTTATTAATTTATCAGTTGATAGACATTTGGGTTTTCTTTCATTTGGGGTCTATTATGAGTAGTAATGGTTTGCATGAAAGTTTTCGTATGCTCATATTTTCATTTTTCTGAGTTATATACCTACATGTGTAATTGGTGTACACTATGCTCACTATTTTACCGTTTTCCAAAGCTACTTGCTGCCTCAAAAAGTCAGATAACAGGGTTGAGCATGGTGACACACAGTTATAACCCTACTTGTGAGGTGGAGATTGGGAGGATTGTGATTCAAGAGCAGCCCAAGAAAACAGTGAGGTCCCATTTCACCAAACAAGCTGGGCATATTGGTTCACATCTGTAATCCCCTCCCTGAGAGGTATAGATAGAGGATCATGGTCTGAGGCTGGCCCCAGGGAAATCTGAGACCCTATCTGAAAAATAAAAATAAAAAAATAACTAAAGCAAAAAGTGCTAGGGGCATGGCTAGGTGGTACAGCACCTGGCTGAAGTCCTGTGTTCAAACACCAATACCAAAACAAAAAGCAAAAATAGGAAGCAAGACAGAGGGACACAAAAACCATTTTTTTCTAGGACTTTTAGGCACTTCAACTGATTAGAATCTCAAAGATAATCCTTTATCATAGTAAACCTAGAAGCCCTTGCTTCTCAGTCCCAAAAAGGTTTGTAGATATGCTAAGGTGTATGTGGTATGCAGTGTAACAATAGATGCTATCCTTTCCCAGTTGGAGTGTACATGATGTTATCTCTGATAGTGTGGCTGGTTCAGCCTTCTGAGAATTAGGTGCTCTATGTTGAGCCTAAATTAATTCTAGTCCTAGAAAGTACTCAGGAGGTCAAGATGCTTCCACTCTTCCTTCATGACACAAGGGAACACTTGTTACGGTTGAGAAGCTTCATTGGAGTGGAGATTATTATACTTAAGAGAAACATTTCCTCTCTGCTTTCTTTATCCCTTTGCAAAAATCCTGACTCAGTGCAGTTTCTAAATGAAACAGTGCTTTGGGGACCCATGAAGACAGCAGTCTGCAGGAATTGTTAATTATTTCTAAAAATAACTTCAGGAGACAGGCTAATGGTAATGATTGGGTTCTGGCACTTTATGGTTATAGCAACTACTTTTATATATTTTGATTTCCTCCCCTAATGCTTCATTATCTCTATGTGGGCATTATAATGGTATGTCATTGAAAGTATTAAAAATTTAACTAATTGCTTAACAGTTATATCTTGTGGAAACTAAGATGGTGATAAACTTTGTACATTTTTCATTTTTGGTTCACACGAACCTAACTAATCACAGAGCAACCAAAAAAATGTTCAAAATGCAAATTAGACACCATAAAATATAGCTACCAATTATAGATTTTAGTGTTTTTGTATCCTGTAGCAAATAACTGCCAAGTCTGGAAATAAAGTCAGCTAGAGGTTTTTGTCGTTTCCTGTTTGCTACTGTATTTCTATTGAAAGATTTTAAGATCTATCATGGAAGTACAGCTGGAATTACAACATTTTTAAAAAAATGTCCAGATAAGACAAATGTTTAATTATAAGCCATAGATGTTCAATATATTGAAAATGTGAGTGTTTACATTTTATTGTCAGATGGATTTTATTAGTTTTCTATAATAATCATTGCATATCCTGGCATTTGGTAGCTTTTCTACTGTATTAACATTCATTCTTTAAATGAATCTGAGATTTTATGTAATAAGATGACTAGAATTTTACATTTAATCTAGAGCATGAGTAAATAATTAAAATATTAATTTCAATGGTCTTTTGACATCATAGTTTAACGGAATCTAACAGTTTTTAAATTTTGACACCAAAAGGACAAAGACAAGATTTTATGTAACGTTTTAGTATCATTATCTCTAAAATATTACCACTTATCTTTTTAGATTAGACCAGAAATTCCCATTCCTGCTGAGTTAGGTGGCGATGAAGATGAGGAAGATGTGGATCTTTCAGTTCCTGGCCCTTGCTATCTCAGACTCCTGTCACTCACTGCTCCCTTGGTTTTACCAGGTGACTCATACTTGGAGACAGGGAAGCTTACCATTTTAAATGACTACTGCATGTGTGACTAATTGTGGTCTTTGGGTTATATATTTACTGTAGTCTACTTTAAACATAAGTACTTATTTTGTACCTTAAATGCTAAGTACATCCATATGTTCTTTAGGGACCAATTGAAGTCGTATGGTTTCAAAACACACCAAAAAAGCCAATAGACTCAAGTAAAGTTAAACTGGAAAATTAGCATAAATGATTGTTCTCATTAATAATTAAAATTCCTTTCAAAGGCTAAACTTGAAATAAGACAAATTTTCAGTGACATTATAAGTCACTGGTTAATTGTTGCCTCTTTTTTACATAAGCTAAGTGAAAAGATCATTTGAGAATTAAAAATTTATTGTGTAGTTTCATCACTTGTTACAAACTTATTATTTCAAGAAAGTACTCCAGCTGGGCACAGTGGCTCACACCTGTAATCCTAGCTATTTAGGAAGCTGAGATTGGGATGATTGCAGTTTGAGGCCAGCCTATGGAAAAAGTTCATGAGACTCCATATCAACCAATGACTGGGTAGCTGGTGCATGTTTGTCATCCTATTTATGGCAAGAAACATAGATAGGAGCATTGCAGTCCAGGTTGGCCTGGATAATAAGCAAAACTGCATCTCCAAAATCACCATAGTAAAAAGTGCTGGAGACCTGACTCAGTCGGTAGAGTACCTGCCAGGCAAGCATGATGCCCTGAGTTCAAACTTGAGTATCTTCAGGAGAGAACTTCAAAGGTATTATCAATATTTGAAAGCTATAAATTGATGCTTTTAAAAGATGGGTCAAATTATGTGGTCATTCCAGTTTGAAAAAATCCTTATTGAACTTTTAGCTTTTAAGAAATTATTCTAATGCATACATGTGGTGATCATTCTATATGGATGTCATATTTAGAAATATTTGCCCACCTCATTACTCTATTTCTTACCCAAGAAACCTTAGGTGATCACCTCTGAGACATTGTTTGTAAGATATGATTAGGAATTTACATTTTTTATCTTAAGTTTAATTTTCTGATTATTAACAATTATTTAAAGTTTCCCCAAGTGATCTTTTGTGATGAGTAGCTTTTCAGTATTAGTCAACATTTTACTTTTTGTCCCAATTCTACCTTGAATATTTATGGGTGTGAAAATTTAATTTCTGAAAACAAAGCTTAATAGAAACAGAAAATGTCATGTTGTCTTTGCAATCATAATCACCCTAGCCTGTAATGTTAAAATGTTTTTTTCTTGGTTTTGTCCCACATGAAGCTAAATATATATATTATTATAAATTTCTAAACAAAACTCCTGTCCCAAATCCCTGCCTCCTTTCATTAGAGCAAACTGAATGGTGCATCTCAGACAAGGATGTCACCTTTTCCCCTGCTGTTAAAAAATAAGTTCCAGAGACTTGTTCAGTGTTACTGTCTTCTCTTCTCCCCTACTTCCTGCCTCATAGCTCCTCAGAGTCTACACCTTGCTGAGTTTAGTAGCAAGCAGAAAGGAAAAGCCTTGTTTCCTACATTCCTCCTGTATCCTAAAACAGCCTACTCAAAATTTCTTTCATTTCTTTCTTCCTTTCTTTTTCCCTTTTGTATACTGAGGTTTGCTGGTACTGAGGCTTAAACTCAGGGCTTTATATTTGCTAGACAGGTGCTCTAGCACTTGAGCCACTCTGCTGGCTATAGTACTAAGGTTTGAACATGGACTTCACAATTGCAAGATAGGTGCTCTATTGCTTAATCCATGCCTCTAGTCCTCTTTTTAGATTAAAAAAAAATGACTCTGTTCTTCTACACTATCCCTATTTCAGTCCTGTGTTATTAGAAAACAAACAGGGAGGAATGGTTACCAAGGTGAGCTGGTATGTCTGTCCAATGTGTGTGGTACTGTGGTGGCCGCTAGCTGACTCTTCTGTAGTCTTTTTTGCTTGATGGTAAACAGTGTTTTTCCCTGAGAAGAAGGGGAGAACTTCAGATCAATAACAGTGGCTGTTTGAGAAAAGTCAATAACTAGAGTCAGGAGGTATGTTTAGGTACTAACCATGACTGGCAAACCATCACCATGGACAATGTTTTCATTTATCTGTGCTTTACTTTCCCTCTGATTAGTAGAGAACTGAACAATGAGCTAGGACAAAGACTCTAGCCTTTAAGAATGTGTGCCATAAAGTGTACAGCGTGGAATGGTACATGTCAGTCACTAGGTGCTATAGGCAGAAAAACAGATTGCTCTTAATTGAGTGAATCCTGGTCCTTCCTTCTTTTAATTCCTGTCGAGTGAACATAACTGCAAAGTAAATCTAATAATTTGCATTATTTTATTATTATTATTATTGAGTTTTAAAAACATATTCTACTTAAAAATAATTATAGACTTTAAGAAGCCACAAAACTAGTTGAGAGAGTTCCCACATACCTTTTACCCAGCCACTCCCATTGATAACATTTCATATAGCCATAGTATGTTATTAAAGCTAGAAAACCGATCTACCTGGATTTTACCACTTATTTTCAGTATGCAAACTCTTTGGATTAGTTTTTTTTTTTTTTTAACTCAGCATGGTGGCCTTGAGATCCATGCAAACTGTTGCTTGAATCAATTTAAAACAAACAAGCTGCTGAGTGGTATTCCATTGTATGGCTATACTGGAGTCTGTTCACATACTTACTTGCTGAAGAACATTTGAGTTGTTTAAAAAACTTATGTCTGACACCCATGTCCTGCAAATTTTTAGCTTCTTTTTAAATTCTCACATGGTCATCTATAAGGAAGAGACTAAGGAAAGGCTCTTAAGACAGTGGGGAAAAAAAATCCTAGATGTTAGCTTAATAGCTAAAAGAAGAATGTGCTCTATGCATTAGCTACGTTCAGGATCTTGGTATCTTATCCTCATTTAAAATTTTCTTTAAGGCTGGGTTTATCTGTAATCCCAGCTACCTGATAAGCAGAGATAAAGAGGATCTCACCTTTATGCTGCCTGAGCAAAAAAATCATCAAGACTGCATCTCAACAAAATAATCCAGGTGTGTTGGCATGCCCCTGTGATTCAGCTAGGCAGGAGGTATAAGTAGGAGGATCTTGGTCTGAGGCTGGCCTCAGGCAAACTGAAAAAGATAACTGAAAAAAAAAATGGGAGGGGGGGGTTGGGGACCTGGCTTAAATGGTAAAAAGTGCTTATTCAGCAAACACAAGGCCCTGGAGTTCAAACCCCAGTACCACCAATATATATATATAGATATAGATCTATATCTATATCTATCTATATATATATATTCTTAAAGCTGGAGTTATTTGAGAATTCCTAATTTGCTTGATGAGTAGACATGTTTCCGAAGCTGAGTTTACCCATGTACATATGTGTGCTTGTCCCTTGACATGTGTACTTGTCCCTTTTGCCAGAACACATGAACTTACTCTCTCTCAGTGTAGTGCCAGTGTCCTTCCTCATGATAGGTGACTCATATTCTGAAAAGTCTGCACACTCATTCCCAGCCTGAAGCAGCCATACTTGTGCCATTGTATTCAGGAATTGGGATATATGGCCTACAATTGGATACTCCCCTTTCTTGTTTAGATGTTGTGTAGACTAAGGTCATGACCAGAAGTGTAGTCACATTCAGTGGAGTAACTGAAGAGAGTTCAATAAAGGGACTATTTACTGTTGTGCTGTCAAAGGGAAGGGCAGTTCACTAGAAATGGTAATATTATCCCTGAGTGGTTCGGGTTCTTTGGCCTTGGATTTAAGGGAAAAGAGGTTAAGAGAGAGCATCTGTATCACAAATAGGGCTGCCTAAGTGGAGCCAGGACTTCTGAACAGGGGGACACAGCCTCTAGCAACCTGCTGGAAGGTGTCTGGGGAATGCATTCCCTTACTCTCTGATATCCTGCCAATGACTCTCATTAGATGAAGCCAAAGGGAAGCCAGCAGACAGGAGAGGCTATTGACACATTTCTTTTTTCTTTTTTGAAACATTTCTTAAAGATTATTTTTGCAGGGCACAGAGCAAGGTTGAGAAAGGTAGAGGGGATATTTGGAGGAGTAAACAGAAAACATCCCACACAGGTGTCCTCTGGGCTTTGAAGGGAGAATCTTGGTTGCATCTAGGAGAGTTTTCTATAAGGAGGACAGAACTAGGTACTTCACAGATGCTCCAGAGAGCACTTGTGGCCTTTAATTTAATCATGATCATTTAAAGGAGATGCTTAGATACATTCAGAATGAAATCCCAGTGTAGTGAGCAGACCCTTGCCTTTTGTTCCTGTAAGAGGCATATGCAGCTCTTTCCTTTTTGTTTTCCATTTATTTAGGTTTAATGTTTCTTTGTTTTTGTTTCTGTATTGGGCAACCTCTAGTGGCTCTTCAGAAAATGACACTACTATGAACCCATAGTGCTATTATCTGTCCTCTATTTTGTTTGACATCCTATTGTCTTTCTGATCCTACATTTCTTTGTTGTTTTGTAATAAGTAAAATTTCAAATTAGAAGAAACACAAGCAAAGAAATGATAAAGGAATATTTCATTTTTTAATAACTGTACTAGTATTGCTACAGAATGATGGTTATTCCTAAAAGTCCTCCCTAAAAATGCCAAACAGATAAGAAGGACCCAGTCATATTAAAATCTGGGATTAATATGTCCCATTTAGAAGGAACAGCAAGTTCAGTGGCCCTGACTAAGTCATCGAATTGTATTTTTGAGGACTGCGCAGAGACCATTTGGAATTTGTTTGTTAATCTGGCAAGGAGGGAGGGTTACGATCATGATCCCTCCACCATGGCAGAAGATGTGAAATCATTCTGTGTGCAATGAGAAGCCATCGCTGGCTTCTAGTTAGAGGATGGTTTGTGGCAGTGGTCATGAGGACAGAAATCAAAAAACTAGTCTTTATGTTAGTATGGATGAAGAAGAGAGAAAACGATAGGTAAGTAGAGGTGAAAATACATGGAAAAGAATGGATTAGGGTATACTTTGAAGAGGAAGCCACAAGAACTTGCTAACCTAAGTGAGGAATTAAGAATGACTTCTAAATTATTACATTTGAACTTGGTGCCATGTTCTAACTTGGGAGACACTACAAAAGTAATCGGGACCAGGAGTCTCCTTCTTTTTTTTTTGGTGGAACAGGGGTTTGAACTTTACAAACCTGCTTTGCATTTACAAAGCAGGTGCTCTACCCCTTAAACCACACCTCCAGTCCATTTTGTTGTTATTTTTGGAGGTGGGGGGAGCGGTCTCACAAAATATTTGCCTGGGCTAACCTTGAACCATGATCCTCCCAATCTCAGCCTTCCAAGTAGCTCAGTTTACAGGCATGAGCCACCAGCACCCAATTTAGTTTTCTTTTTATCATGTGAAGCTCAACCTGAAATATAGCTTAGATGTTTACATTCTAGTTAAAAGTGAGGATTTCTCTTTCAGAATACTGGATCTACGCTGTCTTTGTGTTTTGCTTTGTTTTTGTTTTTCTTTTTTGGTGGTACTGGGGTTTGAACTCAGGGACTTGCACTTGCTAAGCAAGTACTCCTCCACTTGAGCCATGTCCCCTGTCTTTTTTGGCTTTAGTTTATTTTTCATTCTTAAAAAATTTCTTTATGTATTTATATCATCATATTATTGTACTGGGGTACATTGTGAAATTTACAAATGTGCTTATAATATATCTTAGTTAAATTCAGCCCCTCCAACATTCTCCCTTCATTCCTGGAATGAGTCTCATTTTCATTTTCATACATGAGTGCATAATATTTCTGCGATGTTCACCCGTCTTCACCTTTTCCTTATATCTCCCCACCACTGGTACCAACACCCAGATAGATATTTTTTGCTTGCGGCTAGCCTTGGACCACAATCTTCCTCCCTCCACCTCTCACATAGCTGGGATTATAGACATTCACCACCATATCCAGCTTGTTTTTTGAGATAGTATCTCCCTAACTTTTTCGCCCAGAGTGATCTCAAACTTTGGTCCTCCCATCTCTGCCTTCTGTATAGCTGGGATTATAAGCGTGCACCACCACACCAAGCCTGTACTCTAACTTTGATCTCCTTTTATCCTCTTGCAGCTTTAGAAGAATTTTTTATATCCCTTGTGAAGCAAGAAATGGCAAATATGCCCCGTGGGATATATCACTCTGCATTAAAAGGAGGTATCCGCTCAGACCAAGGAAAGACTGTGGCAGGAATCCCCAATTTTATGTTAAAGATGTATGAAACAAACAAGCAACCAGGATTGAAACCTGGTCTTGCAGGTAAGAGTAGTGTGCATAGGTTTTTAATGTGATTTGAATGATGTTGTATGTTACTGCAGGGTGTCACTACTACTGATATTTAGACATAACTAGATAAATCAGACAAAAATTAAATTTTAAAAGGCACAGAAGAACTATAGAAGCAAAGACAGAGTTGGGCTAAAATTTCAGGATGGGCTGAACATTTTGAAACTCTTTTTTTTCCCTTTTGAGGATGTTCATTGATTTTGATTGTGGGCCAGGATTGGGTGTTGGCCCAGGCAAAGGCCTGGTCTGTTGGAGGAAAGAGAAACCAGTGAGAATTTTAGTGCCTGCATTGGACTATTGTGACAAGTCAGAGATTTTCATCACAGGGAATTTTTAATTTGCACCAAAAGCTAAAAAGTCTGGTAGAAAGTTTCTGAAAGACAAAATAAAATCTCTTTGGTTTTAGATCTTGTGGAGCTTAGGATATAAAGACTGACTAGCAGAATGGACCTGAAAACAGCATGCAAGAGCAGAAACCCTAAAGATGGCAGTGAGTTGGTTGTGAAGGTCTGCAGCTGGTCTCCCCTGGGTGCACTTCCTGGCCACAGCTGGAGGTTGAGCATTTGGGCTCTACCCTAGCAAAAGGCAGGTGTAGAAGTTGAGAAAGCACCTGAGAGCTTGACATTCATGTAGCTAAGAAACTTGAAGAACCTCAAACACAGACCTGAATATCCTTAAGATATTCATCAGATTTTAAAGATTTATATGATGGAATATTAAAGAGCTAAGCTGAAAACTTCTGAGGGCAGGCCTGAATTTCCCTTTTGGGTCCCAGAGATTGGAGTCAAAGGCCCATTGAACTATCAGCTGAAAACCTTGGAGCCCAGGGTTGAGGCAGAGGGGAAGACATGACTTAGAAACAGCAGTAAGGCATAGGACACTAAAATTTTCCAAATTGTACAATCAAGCCTAACCTAGATCAACCCCTGAGTAGGTTAAGATAGCCAATTCTTCACCCAGTCTGCCTAACAGAGGAAAGAAAACTACTCTCTGACAAGTGTGAGAATGTGGTTCTTTCATATGCTGTCCATTACATGGTGAAAAGGCACTAGAGATAGGAAAAAGAAATGAAGGTACTGGAAATGAAAAAATATTTTGTGGATTTAAAAAGTCACTCCATTAGAAAAGATTATAGTTTCTGTTGGTCTACATGACGTAACATAGCTTCAAAATATATTAAATATGAGCAGAACTAAAAGAGGAAATAGAAAAAACCCACAAAATATTGAAAACTTTGAAATATCTTTTTCAATAGCTAGCAGAACAGGCAGACAAAAAAATCATCTAAGTTTGCAAAATATCTGAACAGTACTATGAGCAAATTTTATTGAAAACAGTGTGTATCTCATAAACATTGATGGAAGTCCTATTCTTTTTAAACTTTGGGAAATTTACCAAAATTACCATATGAAGGAACATAAGCTTTAATAAACTTTAAGATACTCTAGTCACTTAGAATCTATCCTATCTTACCAAACTGACCAGAAGGAGAAATAGAGCACATGAATAGTTGATATGTATTAAATTAATTGATTCTGTAAACTAATACCCTTCCTTCATTGAAAACTCTAGGTGCTTCCTTGATGAATTCTCCTAACAGCTTCTTCTTCTGTGAGAGAGAGAGAGAGAGAGTGAGCAGTATCTTATAAAACTTTAACAGAGCATAGAAAAAAGGCACAACATTTTATGGCAGCAGTATAATCTTAATACCAAAACCTGGTCTTTACTCTACAAGAAAGGAATGTTGTACACCAGTCTTTTCTGTAACAAAGTTGGAAGAATTAAAAAAAAAATTGAAAATTGAATTAAGCAATTCATATAAGGATTAATACATAATAATTGAATCATTAAAATTAATGTTTCAAAACCAACATAATTCAGGACAATATTTAAAGTTTCAGTAGTGCAGAAAAAAGACTTAACTCATTAAAATGTGAAGGGAACTTATTTTATTCCGATTAAAGAACATTCACCAAGAAGTAGGGTGTCATAGCATCTGTTTGTAATCCCAGCACTTGATTGCCTGAGGCAAAAGGGTTACAAATTTGAGACCAGCCTGGGCTACATAGCAAGACCTGACTCCAAAAATATAACAGCAACAAAAAGAAAAGCCACCATGACTTATTTATAGTTAATACTGAAATAGTGATACCTTTACTCCCTGAAATTGGGGAAAAGATGTCGGTGCTTGTTATCACCACTATTATAGGTATTGCAGTAAGCTAAGAAAAAGAAATAAAAGGCATAAGAGCTAGAAAAGAAGAGATTAACAGTCATTAGTCATTGTTTGCAGGTACCATGATCATATACTAGATCAATATGATCCACAGATTTATACTAGGTTTAATAAATGAAGTCAATTCAACAAGGTTACCTCATACAAAGGTCAGTATATGAAAAAATCAGTTATGTATTTTTATATACCATAGCAAATAAAAAATGAAAACTTAAAACTATGATAGCATCAAAAATATCAAGCACCTAAAACAAACTTACAGCCTGTATACTGTAAACTACAAAATATTGAGAGAAAAAACTTAATAAATGGAACAGCAAATAATATATATGGACTAGAAGAGTGCATATTGTAAAATGTAAGTTCTCCCCAAACTAATGTATAGATTCAACTCAATTGCCATCAATATGGTGACAAATTTTTGGAAATTGACAATTTTATTCCAAAGTATGTGTGGAAAATGCTAAAGACCAATAATAATCCAGACTAACCAAAGGAAGAATATACCAAGTTCAGACACACACACAGAGTTACTAAAGGTGGCACTGAAGTGCTGTGAAGAAAAATGATGGTCTTTTCTATGAGTGCTGCTATAATTTTAAAAGGAATGGCAAATATATAAAAATTAAGAACATGTCTTACTGAAGCTATATGGAGATTAAAAAGTCAAGTTATGGAGTTCAAGAAGGTATTTTACAATACTTATATCTGATAAAGAACTTACCCAGTATGTATGAAGAACTTCTGCAATCAGTGAGAAATAGACACTTAATACAAAACAGAAAAATGGTTTGAATTTACACCTCAAAAATTGTGTTTTCAAATGCCTAGTGCACATATGGGAAGATAGTCAACTTCATTAACATCAAAAAAGTGTACAAGAAAATACTGTTACATACCTACTGGAATGGATAAAAAAAAGATGGAAAATACACAGTTAGTCTCGTGTATCCATGAATTACACATCGGTGGTTTCAACCAACTGCAGATGGAAAGTATTCAGAAAAAAATTTGCATCTTTACTGAACATGTGCAGCTTTTTTTTCTTGTCAATCCCTAAACAATGTAGTGTGATAACTATTTACATAGCATCACATTGTATTAGGGATTATAAATAATGCAGAGATGATTTTAAATATATGGGAGGATGTGAATAGATAACGCGCAGATACTGTCATTTTCCATAACGACTTGAGTATCCATGGATTTAGGTATCTATGGGGTTTCCTGGAGACAATTCCCCTTGGATACCAACAAATAACTGTATTGGTGAATATGTGGAGCAACCAGAACTGGTGTCGGGAATGTAAGTTCATGTAACACTTTGGAAAATGGTACTGAACTGATTCCTACCCTATTGCCCAGTTATTTCATTCTTAGGGATAAAACCCAAATGAAGGCACTGCAGGATATATATTGTGATGTCCATAGCAATACAACTTAAATAGCCCCGTACTTGGAAGCTGTTTAAATGCCTACTGACAGTAAAATGGATAAATAAGTATATAATATAAGTATTGTGTATCTATGTGATGGAATGCATATTTACTTATAAATGCTTATGTACTTATTCATGAGAGAATGATCACAGTACAACTGCTAATGAAGCATTCTCACAACAATTAGGCTGAGTAAAAGAAGTCAGATATGAAGGCACATACTCAGTCTAATCCCATTGTAAAGTACCATGGCAGGCAGAGTGGTAGCTAGAAGCATGCTACTAGTGGGTGGGCATGGGAGTGACTGGAAGGAGAAAGGAGGAAGGGCTTCTGAGATGATGGATAATAACATTGTGTTTCTTGATCTGGGTTCTGGTTAGGCAGGTTTATCAGTGTGTCACAATTCACTGAGCCGTATACTTATGTTCACTTTTCTGTGTGTTAGTCATATGTTAATGAATGATGTTGAAAAATGTGATGATCTCTATATTTTAAGTTATTTTTGTTCTTGTATGTATCTTCTTGTTGACCCTAAGTCACCCACCAGCCCTTGGCTGTCTGCTCTTTTTTTTTTTTTTTTTTGGTACTGGGGTACCTAGGAATTATGTTTAACCATTTATTTATAAATATTTACACTTACAAGTATTTACTTATAAATGACTTGTAAATAAGTTGTATTTAAATATTTTTGTATCTTCTGTGTTTTTTCTTTCCTTAGACATCAATACTCAAAAATAACAACTTGCTTATTTTACCTTTTCATTTATATGTTCCCTACTCAGATTTATTACAGATTACTGAGAATATAACTAATGATGTTTTGCCATAAGAAACATATTTGTAATGTTTTTTTAAAGGTGGTATGTTATTTTGCTACGACATTGCCATGTACCAGAGTAAAGATGGAAAACCATTGAATCGATTGATGGCCAGTAGAGGGCGAAGTTTCAAGCAGACCTCCCTTGCCCTTGTACATGAGGTAGGTGCCCTCCAGCTCACTGTTCTCTGTGTGTTTTACATTAACTCTCCTTTCCTTTATGTTTATGAAATAGAGTGTTTGCTTGAATATTTTTTTCTTTATCATAATTAATGTAAGTTTCTTTAAAGGCTACCAAAATAGCTGAGCAAACAGAATACTAAAATATTTTGAGGTATTTCTGAAAGAAACTGCATGTTTCTCACACTGCCCAGCCTAATTGTTAGGGAGTAGTATCTCAAGACTTGGTTTATTCCAAATCGCTATATTTAAGTTTCATTATTGAGAATAAATTTCAACTTAAAACTATTGCCTGCTTCTTAATTTTATTCTTTTCTAAGTATGTAGGACACCAGTGTTTGTACTTTGTCAGTAGAAGTAACAGTAAATAAAAATGTATTCTTGGTTTTAGGGTTTATCTTTCCTTTCACCTGCGTTTAAAAAATTAGGTGTTCAAATTTTTTTCTTTTTTCTTTTTCTTTCTTTCTTTTTTGCTGGAACTGAAGTTTGAACTCAGGGCTTCACACTTGCAAAGCAGGCACTCTAGGCTTGAGTCATGCCTCCAGTCCATTTTTGTTCTGGTTATTTTGGAGATGGGATCACACAAACTATTTGTCTGGGCTGGCCTCACCACAGTCCTTCTGATTTTGGCCTGTACACAGGCATGAGCTACCAGTGCCCAGCATGTGTTTATTTTTTTATTTTTATTTTTTTTTATTATTCATATGTGCATACAATGCTTGGGTCATTTCTCCCCCCTCCCAGCATGTATTTAAAATTTAAAGTATGTGATGCCCTTAAATGATTTTCAGGAAATAAGATCATTGCAGATTATAATGAAGCCAGGGGTAGCTGGAAAGCACTTGGAAAATATATGCTTCTGTTGTTTTTAAATTTTCTTAATACTCATTCAGGTGTTTATCAATTAAAATATATTAATCAGTAGTAACAAAAGAAAATCTCAAAGCAAAAATTTTTTTACGTAATTGAGACACAATGGGTTACATATGCAAATTATAGAACGTTAACGGGCTTGATGTTAAAATAATTACTATTTCTAAATGTGTCTGTATAAAAACATATTTCAATACTTGATTTATAAATCCTGGTGTCACTAATTTGGTTCAATTATATTATGTATCCTTCTACTTGTTGCCAACATAACAGGTTAGCAAAGGGCAGAGGGTTTTAAAGAGCCAGCTTCATCCCATGCCAGCATTTTCCTTTCATATATTTAAGTAGAGTTGAAATTGTATACATATTTGGTTGAGGATTTGCTTGTCTCATATGGTGTTTCTCTCAACTAAAGAAGGAATCAGGATCTTGGAGGAGTGATGTTTTCCTGGAAGGAAGAGATTTAATTTCACAAAATGGGGAAAAACATAGGTGATTTCTACATTTAGCATTCCTTAGCATCTCATTCCTTGGGATAGAGGAGGGAGAGATTTGGTGCCTGTATCCTCAGGACAAATCAGAGTTGCCAAGCCTTCATGGAAAAGCTGATTTGAAAAATCACCATCAAAACAGAATAAAAAAGCATGGGACAGGATAGCAAAACATCAATAAATTAAGCTAGTGCTGTCAGGAGTGATGAGATGTGCCCCAGATTTGAAAATCTCTGGGTTATGATGCTTGGAGCTTGTGTTACAGAGGACCTAGACTATTGCAAATGGTTGACAAAATAATGTCATTATTTTAGGAGTCAATTAAAAGGCATATTAGAAAGAATTCTGCGAACTCTATGGTAGGATTTTAGTTCACATTTCACCTTCTGATTTCTTTAGTTCCTTTTTTTTAAAAAACAGAGAAGGAATGAGCCATAAGTTTCTCAAACTATATGATAAGAAATATGATTATAATAATAATAGCTTATGATCAGCTCAGGCACTTTTAAAATTGCTAAATATATAGTTGGGCCCTGACTTAAAATGTCTTAGTTTATTATTATTATCACAGAACTGGGTTTTGAACTCAGAGGCTTGTGCTTGCTAGGCAGGTACGCTACCACTTGAGTCATGTCCCAAGCCTGCCCCAACCCCCTTTTTTTTTGCTTTAGTTATTTTTCAAATATGGTCTCACTTTCTTTCCAGACCAGCCTGGGATTGTGATCTTCATACATATACTGTCTGTATGGCTGGTACTATAGGCATCTACCACCATGCCCAGCCCTCAGCTTACACTTTTTTTGACTTGTAGTATATGACTAATCTATAATGTTTGAAGGTTCCAATTTAAGTACATTTTCAGTGTATGATGGTTTATTGGAATGTGTCCCTGTAATTGTGAGGAAGCAACTGTGTATTAATTCATTTAATCCCTGCCTTAATGCTCTGAGGTAGCTTCTGTTCATTTGCTGGAGGTCATAAAGCTATTAGGCGGAAGAGCCTGGAAACTGAATCCAGGAAGGAGACTGGGTAGTCTTGCGCTGTCTTCTGCAGCAGTATCTTTTATCCAAGGTGGACATGTTCTAGGACAGACAGTGGATGCCTAACCCATAGACAGCACTGAACTCTACACAGTAATGCCTTTTAAATCTTAACAATGTACTTAGTGTACACTGGACTATAACTTGTACAGTTTGAGGTGGGACAAGACTAGCACAGATTTCTTTTCCTTCCATCACAATCTCATGTGTAGATTTTTTTAATAAGAAAATTTTAATATATCAGTGAAATTAAAATTCTATAATTTGTATGTACCAATAATATACTGTAATTTTATAAAACAGTATTTAGGAGAAATAAAGGGAAAAATTCATGGATATACTTTTCATATACAATTTTATTTTCTTATTAAGTCAGGACCCTCACTTTTTCACATTATGCCTTTTCTTTGGCATGGCTAAGTCGCCAGCATCACCACTCTTGTGCTTTGGGACCATTATACCAGACACGAGCATTATGGTGCCTTGACAGTTGAGGGCTAGTGAGGGCTAGTAGAGGAGTAGTGAGTGACTAAGGCCTCACAGATGTACTGGACACAGGGATGATTCACGTTCACAGTGGCTGCTGCAAGATTTTATCAGGAGTCTCAGAACAACATGCAACTTAAAACTTAACAGCTTATTTCTGGAATTTTCCATTTCATATTTTCAGACCACATTTGACTGTGAGTAATTAGAAGCCATGGAAAGTGAAATTACAGATAAGGGGACTACTGTACTGTTCCAGGTCAATCAGAGAACATTTAAAAACTATATTTGGATCCTTCCAAGATTACTTTCAATAACTCTTAACTCTTCTCCTTGCTTCTGGCCTTTCTTTCATTGCAGGCTGCTTGGTATTTTTTCCAGATGAAATGTCTTCAAATTCTACTTTGATTCCCACTGCTACTCTATTCCAAGTCTCTTTTATTTTAAAGTCTTTCTTGAGGATTTCAGTTTGTTTACTAACTCACTGGTTGGTGGACCTTTGGGTTGCTTCTGGGTTTTGGTTATCATGACTTAGCGCTGCTATAAACATTCTCGTGCAGGTCTCTGTGTCTGGACATCTGTTTTCATTTATTTTAAATAAATAAATAGGAGTGAGATTGATAGGTTATGTGTTCATGTAGAGCTTTGTACAAAACTAACAGGCTTTTCCTAGTGGCTATCCCACTCTGCCTGCCCACCTGCCATACACAAGAGTTCTATGTTCTACCTCCATCTAGTTCTTGAGTCATTCTCGTAGGTATCTTTGTTGCTCATGTTCCATTCAGATGTTTTCTTCCATGAGGTGTATGCTCTGATATTTTGCCTATTTTTTCCTTGAGTTTGGTTTGCAAGCAATAGTTCTTTTTATATTATGCACATAAATGATATATTGGAAGGGATTCTAATTTCCATTTTCTAACTTCTTTTTGTCTAACCTAAGATCACAAAGATTATATTTAATGTGTTTAATTTTTATTTTTCATTTTTTAAAAATTAAAGTATAATTCATATATCATAAAACTCACCCATTTAAGTGTACAATCCATTGTTTTCAGAATATCCATGGAGTTGTATAACAGTTACAATTTTAAAACAATTTTAACACCCCAAAAGAATATCCACTAGTAATTACATTCTAGTTTCTCCTTTCCTCAGCCTCTGGCAGCCACTGACATTTTGGACATTTCATATAAGCAGAATCATTTTTAGTATGGCTTCTTTCACTTGGTATAATGTTTTTTAAGGTTTATATGGTAGCCTGTATCAGTACTTTATTACTTTTTATGGTTGAGAAGTATTCTACTATAAGGACATACCACATCTAGTGTATCCATAATCAGTTTGTTGATAGCCTATGTTTTCTTGTAGAAGTTTTATCCTTTAGGCTTGCATTTTAGGCTGTGATTCTTTTGAGTTGATATTTGTATAAGATATGAGTTATACCATCTTTTCTTCACTTACCTAAGTACCTTTGTTAAAAATCCTTTGTCTGTATGTATGTTACCCTGTTGTGCTCCATTGTGTTCTGTATGTCTGTACTTTCACCAAGCCATACTGCTTAATTACTGACACTTTATAATGAATCTTGAAATGAAGCAGTATGAGTCTTTAAACCTTGTTTCTTTAAAAAAATATTTTGGCTGTTTTAAGCCCTTTGCTTTTTTTATGTAAGTTTTAAATCATCTTTGAGAAATTATTTTTAACAGTCCTGCCATGATTTTGATTATAAATGCATTGAATCTGAAGGTCAACTTGGGAAAGACTTAACATGTTAGTAACAGTGCATCACTGTACACAGGAACAAGGTATCTTTCCACTTAGATTTGCTATTTTTTTGTTTTCGTGTTACAAATTCTGAACTTATTTTATTAAATTTACATATTCCTAAGTGTTTTGATGAAAGTATTGCAATTAGACTTTATTTTTGGTTTGTTTATAATTTCCAAATATTGCTAGTATGTAAACACACAATTAATTTTCTTCTAGACATTCCTAAACCCACTTATAAATTCTTACAGATTTGTTTGTTTTTAATGTTTTCTATGACTAGAGGTGGTTTCAGTGAATAATTTCTTACTTGTATGCCTCCAAT